TCTAGCCATCCCCACCCAACTCCCCTGCCTTCCCCACCCAACTCCCCTGCCTTCCTTACCCAACTCCCCGAGCCTCCCCCACCAACTCCCCGTGCCTCCCCCCACCCAACTCCCCATGCCTCCCCCACCCAACTCCCCATGCCTCCCCCACCCATCTCCCCCGTGCCTCCCCACCCAGCTCCCCGTGTCTTCCTTACCCAACTCCCCGAGCCTCCCCACCAACTCCCCGTGCCTCCCCCACCCAACTTCCCATGCCTCCCCCACCCAACTCCCCATGCCTCCCCCACCCAACTCCCCGTGCCTCCCCACCAACTCCCCGAGTCCTCCCCACCAACTCCCCGTGCCTCCCCCACCCAACTTCCCGTGCCTCCCCCACCCAACTCCCCGTGCCTCCCCACCCAACTCCCCGTGCCTCCCCCACCTAACTCCCCGTGACACCCCTACTGTCGAGGGCAGTTTTTTCCTCCCAGCCCCTCAAGCCCCACCAGATCACCATGGTGAAGTTCTCTACCTTCCAGGCACTACTCTTCCACGCACCATACTCCCTCCACATCCTTGCTCTATCCAGCTCCTACAGTCTAAGCTGCCAGATGAATGCTAATCAAGAAACTAACAGCCTAGGAAATGGTACTGCTGGCAATGCTAGAAGAGGCAAATGTCGATCGTGTTTACAGGTTCTTGGTCTCAACAATAACGATTTTCTGTGCAAACATGGCAACTGCCCTGGTTCAGGGTGGATGTCCTCTCGTGGAAAGTGATGTCCCACAGCCACTTCAGGTACCTGAACACACCCCACCGGATCTTATCTCCTCAGATACCTTGAAAGCAATTAAAGCAACAGGTACCAGGACACTCACACATATTCCCAAAGCAGCTCGTCTACACGTAGCTGCGATACCTACAGTCCTCTTAGAAAAGTAAACGATGGTTCCCTTCTTATAAATGCTTTCACCAACCCTCAAGGCATGGCACAACTTTCTAGTTTTTGGCAATGTCTTCTTAGCTGTACCGAAAAGAAGGGGCAACAGGGTAACCATGACTATCACTAAATCTTTAAGAGAGACTTTCAGTGCTGTTAAGCTCATTCACCTTCACCATCAATACAAAAATGGGAGAGGCAGACCACCGACACTAACAAATTCTGAGTCCAAGTGAGCAAGAAAATTGAAGAATGCAACACAGTGGTGGCACTCAAGATAATCACCAGCGACGATACAGTTGCCCCCAGGGATGCTGACAGTGCTGAAGCACTTGACCCCAGCTGACACTGCTGAACCACTTGACCCCAGCTGACTGTGCTGAGCCACTTGACCCCAGCTGACACTTCTGAACTACTTGATCCCAGCTGACTGTGCTGAACCACTTGACCCCAGCTGACACTGCTGAACCACTTGACCCCAGCTGACACTGCTGAACCACTTGACCCCAGCTGACTGTGCTGAACCACTTGACCCCAGCTGACACTTCTGAACTACTTGATCCCAGCTGACTGTGCTGAACCACTTGACCCCAGCTGACAGTGCTGAACCACTTGTCCCCAGCTGACTGTGCTGAACCACTTGACCCCAGCTGACTGTGCTGAACCACTTGACCCCAGCTGACACTTCTGAACTACTTGACCCCAGCTGACTGTGCTGAACCACTTGACCCCAGCTGACACTGCTGAACCACTTGACCCCAGCTGACAGTGCTGAACCACTTGACCCCAGCTGACAGTGCTGAACCACTTGACCCCAGCTATAACGGGGGTTATTTGGTAGGCTGTAGAGCGGTGGTTAATGATATACTTCTTCGGAGGCTTCTTACTTTATTGATAAGTAGTGGTGGGTTACACAGGCTTGTGTGTTTGTGCCCATGGCCCGGGCTGGGCCATGCCCACGAGAGAGAGCTGGGAGTACTTGTGTGTTGATGCCAGGCCGCTGTGTGAGTGAGGGCGAGGCAAGTCTGGGCATACTGAAGTGGCAAGGCCTATAGATGGCAGCACCTGAGTGGCGCGAAATATGAACTAAGCTGGCAGACAGCATGGGCTGTCTGTGCAGACAGTACAGGCTGTCTACATACGCTCGGCCACCTACCGCGCGTCGTCCCGACGCGACAATACTGGTAGTAAAAGAAACTCGGTCTCTCTCTCGTAGGAACAGGGCACAGAACACAAAATAAAAACATATATATACATATGGACATGGAAAAAAAAAACTTCCTACAGGGAGGGAAGAAAAAAACATGGGGTGTGCTAAACATCGTGGTCAAAGGCAGTGAGCGCCGAAGGGCATCACTGCACGCCTTCCTGCATCTGGACAGATACTGCAACACGGGAGACATCGCTGCGGCTGAGCTGTGACGTAACAGGGTACGGTCTCTGGAACGGTGAAGCAGACATCGTAGGAGTCGCTGCAGGTTTTCACTCAACCTGGGGCACGACATGCTGGTGCCCTCGAGTGAGGCGTCGACAAAACTCGGCAACTGGGCAGGACTTCTGGCAAGCGACTCAGGAGGACACTTCTCGACTGGTACTGTCGCTGGGCTGTCACTGCCGGCGAGCGTGGAGCGAGTTGTGGAGCGAGTCGTGGCAGAGACAACTGGGCGAAACATCTGGGAGTCGTAACATCATACACCAGACTGCAGTGAGAGAGCTAGCAGTCAAAGTGACATCTTCTTTGTGCAGGCTGCTCACTGAAGCTTGTGACACGAGGCTGACACAGCGCCTGCCGACAGGGCTGGCTGCGGCTTGACGAGTATCATCTCTCGACAGCTGGAGTTATAGCAGAGGTTAGTCTAAGCGTCCCCAGACTTGTTTCTCTACATATAACTGCACTCTGAAGGTCTGGAGGTGAAGTGAAACAAATCTCGATGGGAATCGTAGCAGGTACGATTCTGCAGAACATCACGAGCGACGAGCATAAAAGCTTTCTGTACAAGGGGGCTCGTACGCTCAGGGCTGAGAAATCAGCTGTCAAACACTGGTCAGGCGGGTGACTAACACAGTGGTGCTACTCAGGTCTGGCTGGGCCAGACCTCACTGGACACACGAAACTTTAAAAACACACCGCTGTACATACGGTACAACATGGCTTAACTAGCAACTGATGCTTTTCTGTGCACAAAACTGACACTAAGACATATACTAAAATGTGAGAACACTGACTAAGAGGAATTAATTAACACACGACATATATCTTCTCTCAATCTTCTCGACAATACTGAAATAATTACTAGAACACTCGATGTGACATCATGTGATGTCAGGCGTGATGTCGCGAGGTGACGTCAGCAGCACTGTGACGTCAGCAGACATCTCGAGGTGACGTCAGCAGACATCTCGAGGTGACGTCAGGCAGACATCGTGAGGTGACGTCAGCAGACACAGCTGACACTGCTGAACCACTTGACCCCAGCTGACACTGCTGAACCACTTGACCCCAGCTGACACTGCTGAACCACTTGATCCCAGCTGACACTGCTGAACCACTTGACCCCAGCTGACACTGCTGAACCACTTGACCCCAGCTGACACTGCTGAACCACTTGACCCCAGCTGACTGTGCTGAACCAATTGACCCCAGCTGACACTTCTGAACTACTTGATCCCAGCTGACTGTGCTGAACCACTTGACCCCAGCTGACAGTGCTGAACCACTTGTCCCCAGCTGACTGTGCTGAACCACTTGACCCCAGCTGACTGTGCTGAACCACTTGACCCCAGCTGACACTTCTGAACTACTTGACCCCAGCTGACTGTGCTGAACCACTTGACCCCAGCTGACAGTGCTGAACCACTTGACCCCAGCTGACACTGCTGAACCACTTGATCCCAGCTGACACTGCTGAACCACTTGACCCCAGCTGACAGTGCTGAACCACTTGACCCCAGCTGACACTGCTGAACCACTTGATCCCAGCTGACACTGCTGAACCACTTGCCCCAGCTGACTGTGCTGAACCACTTGACCCCAGCTGACACTGCTGAACCACTTGATCCCAGCTGACACTGCTGAACCACTTGACCCCAGCTGACACTGCTGAACCACTTGACCCCAGTTGACAGTGCTGAACCACTTGACCCCAGCTGACACTGCTAAACCACTTGATCCCAGCTGACACTGCTGAACCACTTGACCCCAGCTGACACTACTGAACCACTTGATCCCAGCTGACACTGCTGAACCACTTGACCCGAGCTGACACTGCTGAACCACTTGATCCCAGCTGACAGTGCTGAACCACTTGATCACAGCTGACACTGCTGAACCACTTGATCCCAGCTGACACTGCTGAACCACTTGATCACAGCTGACACTGCTGAACCACTTGATCCTAGCTGACACTGCTGAACCACTTGATCACAGCTGACACTGCTGAACCACTTGATCCCAGCTGACACTGCTGAACCACTTGATCACAGCTGACACTGCTGAACCACTTGATCCCAGCTGACACTGCTGAACCACTTGACCCCAGATGACACTGCTGAACCACTTGACCCCAGCTTACACTGCTGAACCACTTGATCCCAGCTGACACTGCTGAACCACTTGATCACAGCATTTAAAAGAAATGTTTAATCGAGTTATCGGGAAGACTGCAGAAACACTGCTCTCAGAGATCACAAGGTTCGTCAACAACTCCTTGGCTTTTCCATCACTATGTGCCCTGTGGGCAACCCTTTTCGCCGCCTCGTTTCTAAAGTATTCCTGACACAGAGGCGGCCATGATGCTTCACCATACCAGCTACTTAGTAGCCTCGGGCATAACACGGCTACACACACACGATAACAGTAATTGGAAATTGAATTTTATTTTTCAGAGCAGAAATCATATATGCCATTCGTATCTGTTCGGTTTTTTTCAGAAAAATACCCAAATAGATATAAAAAATCGTACTTAATGTTTTTAAAGGCTGATCAAATAATATTTAATAATAAATCGGGTAATATCAGATGATATTAAGTTAAACTGTTGCAATAATTTCTTTTATTAAAATCTATCTTAATCTCGCACAGAACCATGGACAAACGGCGAACAATTGGCTCAACTGATGTGAATGATCGCGCGACGTTCATTTGGATGTGGGAGAACGGTAGTAACGCGCGGGCAATTGCTCGAGACACAGGAAGCAGTGTGACGACAGTCAGGAGATGGATCAATAGGTGGAAGAAAGAAGGAAATGTAAATACAAAGCCTCGTAGTGGTAGACCTCGAAGAAAACCTGTAATATACGGTACAGAAACAGAGAGATTTCCTTCAGCCGAACAAATGTTATATTTCAGACACTTTCCCAGACAAGCAAACTTTCCACTGGCTTATTATTCTCTCCCTCCATCATTTACAATTTATTCAAAAAATTCTGATGCTGTGTTAAACATTAACTCAACATTTCAGCAATATTTTTTAGATTATTTATTCACAAGAAATTATGCAGATAGTCACAGACTAACAGTGTTTCCTTAGATATATTTGAAGGCACAAGCCAAGGTTTTTCTTGCTTGTATGTAATTCCCACTGTGGATGACGTTATTTATGGCACGAAAATAATTTTTTGTTATAAATGAACAAGTTATGTAAAAATTTTCTTCTTACTGCTATATGTAAGAAGAATTTTTTTAAGAAGCAAAACATGAAGAAAACGTTAATTATAATAATGTTGTGAGCAGACAAGTACTTAAAAGAAATTCATGCAGAAAAAAAGTGTCATTAATACGAGAAAGTTTCTTCTGCATGAACAAAAAATTATGAAAAGTTTCTTATAACAATTAATTTTTTCTGTGTGTCTTTTTATCTCCGCAAACTTATTTTCTCAGGAAAACATAAAATTGATAAGTAATTATTGCATTGTTTTATTAAAGACCAACGAAGACTATCATAGTGAGAGAAGGAAGACACTCAGCCTCACCTGTAACATACACTTGAGAGAAGGAAGACACTCAGCCTCACCTGTAACATACACTTGAGAGAAGGAAGACACTCAGCCTCACCTGTAACATACACTTGAGAGAAGGAAGACACTCAGCCTCACCTGTAACATTACACTGAGAGAAGGAAGACACTCAGCCTCACCTGTAACATACACTTGAGAGAAGGAAGACACTCAGCCTCACCTGTAACATACACTTGAGAGAAGGAAGACACTCAGCCTCACCTGTAACATACACTTGAGAGAAGGAAGACACTCAGCCTCACCTGTAACATACACTTGAGAGAAGGAAGACACTCAGCCTCACCTGTAACATACACTTGATCCTCAGTACATTATTAGCGGGACGAATTTAAGAGTAAATATATATATATGTCGTGCCGAATAGGCAGAACTTGCGATCTTGGCTTAAATAGCAACGCTCATATATATATATATATATATATATATATATATATATATATAAATATATATATATATATATATATATATATATATATATATTTATATATATATATTTATATATATATATATATATATAAGTAGTGTAAAAAGCGGCTGGGGGCACCCTTCCGGAAAAAGGCATGCGGCTGGGCGCACCCTTCCGGTTTTAGGGGTGCGGCAGAGCGCACCCTTCCGGTCTAGGACCAGCGGCTGGAGGGTCCCCTTTTCACACCTAGGTGTTACTTCCGGTTTGACCATGACCTCGCCCTCGAGACTACCTCACCCTTGACCCCCCCAACCAATACCCCCGCCACGACCCTCCCCCCCTTCGCGACCCCGCCCTCGCGCCCGCCCGCGCGCCCGCCCGCGCGCCCCGCCCGCGCCCTTCGCGACCCCCTCCGCCGCGCGCCCGCCCGCCCCGCCCGCGCGACCCCCCGCCGCGCGCCCGCCCGCGCCCTTCGCGACCCCCCGCCACGCGCCCGCCCGCGCCCTTCGCGACCCCCGCCCGCGCCTTCTGCTGCGCCTTCTGCAGCGTCGTCCGGATCGCCCCCGCGCCTCGAATTTTTTTCCGATTTTTTTCGAATTTTTTTTGAATTTCATTTTCTTGTGCTCTCCATCTCCTCGGATCAAGTTTTTAAGGTTCCCCCTCCCACTTTCACCCCCCAATCCCAAAAATTTCTCGATAATACAAGTTTTGGATTCCCCCCTATGGGGGTTTTGAATTTCTTATGATCACCTTGGATCAAATTTTTGGATTACCCCTCCCACTTTCACCCACCCCCCACCTCAAATTTTTCTCGATAATACCAAGACTCCATCTCCTCGGATCAATTTTTTTGGATCCCCCTATGGGTTTTCGAAATTCTCCATCTCCTTGGATCAAGGTTTTTTTTTTGGATTGTCCCTCCTTCCATCCCCCAATCCCAAAAATTTCTCAATATTACCAAGTTTTTGGATTCCCCCCTATGGGGGTTTCGAAATTCTTATGATCTCCTCGGATCAAGTTTTTCTCGAAATCAAAGTCGCCATCTCCTTGGATCAAATTTTTGGATTACCCCTCTCACTTTCACTCCCACCCCAAAATTTCTCGATATTACCAAGTTTTTGGATTCCCCCCTTTGGGGGTTTCGAAAGTCTCCATCTCCTCAGATCAAATTTTTAAGGTTCCCCCTCCCACTTTCACACCCCCCCAATCCCAAAAATTTCTCGATAATACAAGTTTTGGATTCCCCCCTATGGGGGTTTTGAATTTCTTATGATCACCTTGGATCAAGTTTTTGGATCCCCCTCTGGGGGTAAGCATGCTTACTACAGGTCTAAACATCTTCCCCTTATTATTTTAAAATGAACTAAAAGTTTCCTCTCATTAAGTTAAATGAACTAAAAAAGCGTGTTTACTCGGCGGTCAGTATTCCTCTCATTAAGTTAAATGAACTAAAAAGGACCACGCGCACACAGGTTGAATCTTGTCTACCCTTTTAATTAATAAGGGGGCACACAGGCTGAATCTTGTCGATCCTTTTATTTCATTTCAAGTTAATAAGGGGGCACAATACATCAGAAAGGCACATTTTTTCGTTAATACCCACAATTTCTTTACAACACAAGTCTAGACATTTTTTTAACTATTTCATCTCAGGTCACTCCCCACGAAGTAACCTCCTCCCCACCCTCCCAAACCCTCACACTCCAACCAACACCTCACAATTTTCACTCATAACCCCCAATTTTTCTTGTTTTAACCCTTTTAATTCATTAAAGTTAATAAGGGGACACAGTGCATCAGAAAGTCACCACATCGCTTACATCCACTTTCGTTAAATCACTATCAAAATTTTTACATATTACAATTTAAATACCTTTTTACTTTAAAACATTTAAAAAACACTCTCATATATCATTTGAATACTCAAAAAAAATACCTTTATCATTTCAAAAAACACCGGGAAAACTCCAAAAACATCATTCGAACACCCCCCCCAAAACACCCTTTAATCCCCAACACCTTCATAAGTACTCTTTCACACATTTGAACACCTTCAAAAACTTCATAATCTTTGTACACCTTCAAAAAACACCCTTTGAATACTCACATAAACACCCTTGAACACCTTCAAAAAAACCTCAAAACCCCTTTATAATCATTTGAAAACCAAAACACCTTTTGAATAACCTCAAAACACCTTTGATCACCTTCAAAACACCCTTGAACACCTTCAAAACACCCTTGAACACCTTCAAAAACAACATTTGAACACACTCAAAACACCTTTGAACACCTTTGAACATTTCCAAAACACTATTTGAGTACTCCCAAATAAGATTTGACATCTCTAATTTATCTGCACTTACACATTTCATTAAATTACAACTCATCCCTCAGTCTCCAGACTAGGCATTTTCTCGTTTTTACCCTTTTAGTTCATTAAAGTTATTAAGGGGACACAATACATCAGAAAAAAAAGTCACAAAAACTAACTCAAACACTTTACTTTGAACACCCCCAAAAACACTCTCATAATCATTTGAATACTCACATAAACACCCTTGAACACCTTCAAAACACCTTTGAATATCGTTTTAACTAATTTCATCACAACCCACTTATATCATCTTTTTTCGGTAACTCTAATTCGACTACACTACCCTCATCAATTACCAACAAATTTTACTCGTTTTAACTAATGTCATCACTGTAACCAAGATTTTCACAAAAAAAAAAACTCTATGACACCTAACACACACGCACACACACCCCACAACACCCACAATTTTTCTCGTTTTAACCCTTTTAGTTCATTAAAGTTAATAAGGGGACACAGTACATCAGAAAGTCACAACAACAACATCCACAACCCACAATTTTTTCTCGTTTTAACCCTTTTAGTTCATTAAAGTTAATAAGGGGACACACTACATCAGAAAAAGTCCCAACAACAACCCACTTATAACATCTTTTTTCGGTATCTCTAGTTCGACAACAACACCCACATCCCACAACACCCATGAACATTTCCAAAACACTATTTGAGTACTCCCAATTACACCACTGATTACTACTAAAACACCGCTGAATTCAATCAAAACACCCTTCAACACCTTCAAACACCCTTGAACACCTTCAAAACACTCTTGAACACTTTCAAAAACACCTTTGAACATTTCCAATCAACACTGAAACACTTCCAAAAAACACAATTTGAGTACTCCCAATTACACCACTGAATACTACTAAAACACCGCTGAATTCAATCAAAACACCCTTCAACACCTTCAAAACACCTTTGAACACCTTCAAAACACCTTTGACACCTTCAAAACACTCTTGAACACCTTCAAAAAACACCTTCGAACATTTCCAATCAACACTGAAACACTTCCAAAAACACAATTTGAGTACTCCCAATTACACCACTGAATTCTACTAAAACACCGCTGAATTCAATCAAAACACCCTTCAACACCTTCAAAACACCTTTGAACACACTCAAAACACCTTTGAATAACCTCAAAAACACCTTTGAACACCTTCAAAACACCCTTGAATACCCTTGATCACCTTAAAAAAAAACAACATTTGAACACACTCAAAACACCTTTTGAACACCTTTGAACACTTCCAAAAAAAAAAAAACACAATTTGAGTACTCCCAATTACACCACTGAATACTACTAAAACACCGCTGAATTCAATCAAAACACCCTTCAACACCTTCAAACACCCTTGAACACCTTCAAAACACTCTTGAACACCTTCAAAAACACCTTTGAACATTTCCAAAACACTATTTGAGTACTCCCAATTACACCACTGATTACTACTAAAACACCGCTGAATTCAATCAAAACACCCTTCAACACCTTCATACACCCTTGAACACACTCAAAACACCCTTCAACACCTTCAAAACACCTTTGAACACCTTCAAAACACCTTTGAACACCTTCAAAACACTCTCATAATCATTTGAACACACTCAAAACACCTTTGAATAACCTCAAAACACCTTCAAAACACCCTTGAACACCTTCAAAAAAACAACATTTGAACACACTCAAAACACCTTTGAACACCTTTGAACATTTCCAAACAACACTGAAACACTTCCAAAAAACACCATTTGAGTACTCCCAAATACACCACTGAATACTAAAACACCACTGAATACACTCAAAACACCACCAAAATCACCATAAACTAAGATCAACACCCACATCCCACAACACCCACAACCCACAACACCCACAGTTTTTTCTCGTTTTATCTAATTTCATCAGAAAGTCACAACACCCACACCTCCCATTTTTTTCTCGTTTTAACTAATTTCATCAGAAAAAAAAGTCACATCAACAACCCACTTATAACGTCTTTTCGGTATCACTAGTTCGACAACAACACCCACATCCCACAACACCCACATCCCACACACACACAGACACACATACACACACACACCCTAACCTAGCCTAACCTAACCTTTACCTAACCTAATCTAACCTTGCCTAACCATTACCTAACCTAACCTAACCTATCTTAACCTAACCCAACCTAACCTAGCCGAACCTATCCTAACCTAACCTAAAATATATTGGAACACTTCCAAAAAATACATTAGAGTACTCCAGAATTACTTTGAACGACTCCATTTTTGGATATTTCCAAATTAGTTTTGAAAACTTTATCGTAAAATCGAACATTATTTTCTTGTTGGTAAACACACTCAATGGTAGAAATATTTACTCGATTTCCGAATAGAAACACTTTCCTCGCTCTGAGAGACTCATTGTGGGTCACCCCTTCCCCCCCCCCCAACACCACTGGGTAATGCGGTTCACACCCAAGGTAGATTTAAGATAATCATGAACACCTGCGCCAACTCAGGACAGACAGACGCCATGAAATGCGGGTAACATCCAAGGTAGAAAATCATCTCTTTCCAGACCAACTGTCTATCCTAACCTAACCTAACCTAACCTAACCTAATTCCAACCTAAACCTAACCTAACCTAACCTAACCTAATTCCTAACCTAACCTAACCTCACCTAACCGAACCTAACCTAACTCCATCAATCACCTCTATCCTAACCTAACCTAACCTAACCTAACCCAACCTAACTCCATCAAACACCTCTATCCTAACCTAACCTAACCTATCCTAACCTAACCTAACTCCATCAAACACCTCGAATACTACCTAACTTAACCTAACCTAACCTTACCTAACCTACCGAACCTAACCTAACCTTACCTAACCTACCGAACCTAACCTAACCTAACCTAACCTATCCTAACCTGTCCTAACCTAACCTAACCTATCCTAACCTAACCTAACCTAACCTAACCTAACTTATCCTAACCTAACCTAACCTAACTTATCCTAACCTAACTTATCCTAATCTAATCTAACCTAACCTAACTTATCCTAACCTAACCTAACTTATCCTATTAGGTTAGGTTAGGATAGGTTAGGTTAGAGATAGGTTAGGTTAGGATAAGTTAGGTTAGGTTAGGATAGGTTAGGTTAGGTTAGGACAGGTTAGGATAGGTTAGGTTAGGTTAGGTTAGGTTCGGTAGGTTAGGTAAGGTTAGGTTAGGTTAAGTTAGGTAGTATTCGAGGTGTTTGATGGAGTTAGGTTAGGTTAGGATAGGTTAGGTTAGGATAAGTTAGGTTAGGTTAGCTTAGGAAAAGTTAGGTTAGGTTAGGTTAGGTTAGGATAGGTTAGGTTAGGTTAGGACAGGTTAGGATAGGTTAGGTTAGGTTAGGACAGGTTAGGATAGGTTAGGTTAGGTTAGGTTAGGTTCGGTAGGTTAGGTAAGGTTAGGTTAGGTTAAGTTAGGTAGTATTCGAGGTGTTTGATGGAGTTAGGTTAGGTTAGGATAGGTTAGGTTAGGATAAGTTAGGTTGGGTTAGGATAAGTTGGGTTTTGGGGTTAGGTTGTTAGGAAAATTTTAAAGGTTGGTTAAGTTGGGTTAGGTTGGGTTTTGGGATAAGTTGGGTTAGGTTAGCTTAGGATAATTTTGGTTTTGGGTTTTGGGTTTGGGTTTAGGTTTGGGTTTTGGTTAGGAAAGGTTAGGATAGGTTTTGGGTTGGTTAGGTTAGGTTCGGTGGGTTTTAGGAAAGGTTGGGGTTGGGTTTAAAAGTTAGGTAGTTTCGAGGTTTTTTGATGGAGTTAGGTTGGGTTAGGATGGTTGGGTTTAGGTTAGGATAGAGGTGTTTAAGGGAGTTGGTTGGGTTGGGTTTAGGTTAGGTTTGGTTTAGAGGTGAGGGGATGGAGTTGGGTTAGGTTCGGTTAGGTGGGGGTTGGGTTGGTTGGGAAATTAGGTTAGGTTAGGTTGGGTTTGGGTTAGGATAGGATGGGACAGTTGGTCTGGAAAGAGTGATTTCAGGGCCCGTCTGTCTGTCCTAAATTTGGGCGCAGGTGTTCATGATTATTTTAAATCTACCTTGGGTTTGTGAACCGCTTTCCCCCAAGGTTTTGGGGGGGGGGGGGGGAAGGGGGACCCACGGGAGCCCTCTCAGAGGAGGAAGTGTTTCTTTTTGGGAAAATCGAGAAAATTATTTTTTACCTTGAGTGTGTTTCCCAACAAAAAAAATAATGTTCGATTTTCGAAAAAGGGTTTTCAAAACTAATTTGGAAATATCCAAAAAAAATGGGTCGTTCAAAGAAATTTTGGATTTACTCTAATGTTTTTTTTGGAAGTGTTCCAATATATTTTAGGTTAGGTTAGGTGGGTTCGGCTAGGTTAGGTTAAGATAGGTTAGGTTGGGTTAGGTAATGGTTAGGAAAGGTTAGATTAGGTTAGGAAGGTTAGGTTAGGCTAGGTTAGGGTGTGTGTGTGTGTTTTGTGTCTGTTGTGTGTTTTGTGGGTGGGGGGATGTGGGGGGGTGGGATGTGGGTGTTTTTTGTCGAACTTGGATCCCGAAAAGCGTTAAAAGGGTGGGTTTTTTGATGGGGACTTTTTTAAATTGAAATTATTTTAAAAACGAGAAAAAAGGGGAGGTGTGGGTTTTTGTTGGATTTTTCTGATGAAATTAGATAAAACGGGGGAAAAAATTGTGGGTTTTTTGTGGGTTTGGGGGGGTTGGGGGGATGGGGGTTTTTTGATCTTAGTTTATGGTGATTTTGGGGTGTTTTTGAGTGTTTCCCCAGTGGGGGTTTTTTAGTATTCAGTGGTGTTTTTGGGGAAATTTACCCCAAAATGGTTTTTTGGAAGTTTTTTCAGGGGTTTTTTGGGAAAAATGTTAAAAGGGTTTTCCCAAAGGTTTTTGAGTTTGTTTCCCAAATGTTTTTTTTTTTGAAGGGGGTTTAAAGGGGGTTTTTTGGGGAAGGTGTTTTGGGGTTTTATTCAAAGGGGGTTTTTGGGTGTTCCATATATAAACATATTTATATATATATATAATATATTTATATATTTAATTTTAAAATATATATTTTATATATATATTTTTATATATATTTATATATATTTATATATATATATTTTTTTTAAATATAAAATATTTTAAAATTAAAATTTTTTAATATTATATATTTTAAAATTAAAATAATAAAATTTATATATATATTTATATAATATTTATAATATAAATATATAAAATTTATATTTTAAAATATATATTATAAAATTTTATTTTACATAATATATATAAAAATTATAATTTTAAAATACTTTTATATATTTTAAATATATTTATTTTTATATATTATAAATATATATATAAAAATATATATATATATATATTTTATATTAATATATAATATATATATTTTATAATATTTTAATATATAATATATATTTATAAAATTTAATAAAATTTATATTTTAATATATATATTTTATATGTATATAATAAAAATATAAAATTTATATATATTATATTTTATATTTTTATTATATTTTTAATATAAATATATTTATTTATTTATTTATTATATATTATATATATTATATATATAACATAAAATTTTATTAATAATTAATATACATATATATATATTTTATACATATATATATATATTTTTATTATATAAATATTATATATATATTATATTTTATTTTATATATATAATATATATTATATTATTTTTTAATATTTTAAATATTATTTATATATTATATATATATTAAAATTATTATAAATATTATATAATTATTTTAAAAATATTATAATATTATATATTTTATAAAAATTTTTTATTTTTTATATTATATTTTATTTTTTAAAATTTAATTTTATTTTAATATTATATTATATTTTTTTTATATTATATTTTATTTAATTAATTTTTTATTATATTATAAAAATATTATTTTTTTTATTTTATATATTATATTTTTTATATTTATTTTAATATTTTTTAAAATTTTAATATATATATTTTTTATATTTTAATTTTCCTAGAAAGTGGGTTTGGGGTGGCAGCAACCCCCCGGGGAAAGGGTATTTCGTCCTCCCCAAGAGAGTGAAAAGGGAAAGCCTGTAATTTTTTTACATGATGGTGGGATTGCTGGGGGTTTTTTTCTGTTCATAAACATCCCAAGGGTTTTTCGGGTTTCGTCTTGCAAATTCTGCTTAAAATTTAGGCCCACATTTAACATACTTTTGTAAAAAAAAAAAATTGTATACACCCCCCCTCGGGGTTTTTTCTTCTATTTTTTTACTAGTTTTGGGGTTCTTGTTATTTCCCCCTCTTATCCCCCGGGGGGAAGGGGAAACAAAATTTCTTCCCGTAAGCTATGCGTGTTGAAAGAGGCGCCCTTTTAAAATGCCAGGGGAAAAGGGGCTAGAAACCCCCTTTCCTGTATATATTACTAAATGTGAAAGGAGAAACTTTTTTTTTTCCTTTTTGGGCCACCCCGCCTCGGGGGGTTACGGCTGGGTTTTTGAAAGTTAAAAGGGAAATATATATATTTATATATATATATATATTTATATTATATATATATATATAATATATATTTATATATATATATATATTTAATATATATACATATATATATATTGAAATATTATTTTCTATTTTATTATATATATATTATTATATTTTATATATATATATACATATTTTTATTATATATTATTTATTTTAAATATATATATATATATACATTATATTATATATATTTAATTATATATATTTTACATATATAAATATTTTATATATATTATATTATAATATTATATATATTTACATTATATTTATATATATATATATTATATTTATATAATATATATATATTTAAAATATTATATATATATATATATTTTTTTTCAGAAAACCGGTCATACCCCACCAAGGCAGGGTGCCCCAAAAAAAAAAAAAACAAAAGTTTCTTTTTTTAAAATTTTAAAGAAATTTTAAACGGGGAGAAAGGGCTACTACCCTTTCGGCGGCATTCAATTGACTTTACCAAAACGCATGGCTTACAGAGGAAAAAATTCTGTTCCACTTCCCCCTGGGTTTTAAAAGGGAAAAAAAACAAGAAAAAAGAAAATAGTAAGAAAATAGAAGAAAACCCCGAGGGGGGAAAATATACTTGTTGTTTCATTTAAATGTTTAGTGTGAGTAGAAGTAGCAAGAGTACCCGAAACCTTGCATGTTTTGAGCGAAAAATTTGGGCCCCTAGGGAAAAATTTTTACCCTGTTTAAAAAAATTTCAGGCTTTCGCTTATCTTTTTTATTTTATATATTTTAAAATATATATATATTATTATTTATATATATATATATATATATTTTTTTATATGCAATAAAATCACAGTTTAAAATTGTATTTCCCGAAATGCAAAAAAACCACTGTGAAAGACTAGAGAAATTCAAAGCGCCCTTTGTGATACTCACATTATCAAGGAAATATGAAAGTAAGCATCCAAGGAAAAGGGATATAATGGGTCTGGCCAAACCTTACTATCAGACGACAAAAAGTTAAACGCCTGACACGGCTGGCCCAACTTTGGGCAGATCCTTTTCACAAAATCACCAAACCAAAATATTTTCCCCCAAAAAATTTAAAAAAAATTTTTATTTGTCCAGTGTTATTAAAATTTTCCCAAAAATTTTATTAATTATAAATTGATTAAAATTTTTATAAAAAAACCCAAAAGGGAAAAATTCCCTATTATTGTTCCCAAAAATGTTTTTATGAAACAAGATTCAATTATTTCCCGTCAAACCCTGGACTTCCCTTTTTACTACTTTCTAACTTTTTGAAAAACAATTGGTGGTTAAAAACTTTACTTTAAAAAATAGGGCATTGGAAAAATTGTCCAGTTCTAATCAATATTTATGTTGTTTTTAATTTTAGTTCGAGATTTTTACCCGGTTTTACCGTAATAAAAATTTATCGCAAA